AACATAGGATACTTTAGTAGTAAATATTTTCAGGATCATTAAATACGAAAATAATTAATTATAATAAATTCTAAATGTATAAAAATACAAAAATATTTTAAAGTTAGTCAGCAAGTACCTATATATTAACGACATAATTTACTTAATCACGCCATTAATTACATACCTAATAGTCATAATAAAATTACCCTAAAGTTCAGTGTTTGATAAAATATTTAAAATGACTGCAATTACATAGAGTGTTATTTAAATAAATATATTATATTATGTTAATTATTATTAAAGCAAAATAATACAAAGATACAACGAAAAAAAAACACATCAATATACTTATGAACGATAAGGTAATATTAATATTCATCATAAAGTTGAGTTGCGGCGAGTCAGCACAGACGAATTGCTGTAGATAAATTATAACGAACGTTTTCAGTTATCTGAGATATTGGTCGGAATGCGAAGATCACAACTATGGACCGATCGATCTAACGATAGCGATCCTTACAGATCCGGTAGTCCGACTAACCACAGAGCACAAACCAAAGCTATTTATCGACGTCACAGAGATTTATGGACATATCTACTAAATCAACAATCAACCATCTATTACATTAAATCACAAATAATCTAAGAATCGATCATTTTTCTCTTAAGTCATCACCTTTAGTCAGTTTAATGCTTAATTACACTAACAAATTAGCTGTTACACTAATAACAAAGTATGTAAATGAACATCAATAAATACAAGCACTTAATTATGAAACATAATTTATAGAGTTTGATATATTCGATAATGTAATTGAAATAAATCCGACCGATCGAATCAGAGACGTCGTAAAATACAAAAATCTGTATAGAATCGCGATAAATAAAACAGGACGATCTCCATACATATAGGAGGAATATTACGCAATAGTTTGATTTATTGGTTTGGGCAAGGTGCACGAAATTCTAACGGGCGCTTGCCCTCACCAGTGCCAGCGGCGTGATAGAATTTTGCCTCGGCAATTTCCTCGTACGTATGAAAAACTACTTGAGAGTCCGCCTGTGATAAATGCGAGGGTATGAATAAATTTGCCCGTCTATAAAGAAATCTGGTGTGATTAGGTTCGACACCTAAGGCGAGCAGGTGAAGTTTTCTGAGATCCTATAAATGTAATTACCCTAAAATTTGACTTTCTCGCAGATAATCGCAAACATTCGAGTCTATGTTTGTACACATCATTATCTTTACTATGCCTCGGGTTGTATTTTATGATCTCAGTTCAGTGATCGCTACTGAATCGCTAGAAGCGATCATGACGATTTATAGATTATAATAGATGTTAAAAAGATTGAGATACGAGTGATTAAATAATAGTTTAAATTTGTAACGTTGCCCCGTTGGTGGGTAAAGTATATTTGGTATTTCTACGTCAACTCTTTTAATATATAAATGAGATAGTTTGTAAAGATATTATGTTAGTCACTTAATTACGATTTAATAACTAAACTGATTTAAATTAGTATATACTAAGTATATACTGGATTCATAAACGAGTACAGAGTATTTTTGTACAACCCCCGCTATAAACAAATGGTATGATATATAAGCATTTAATTTATATAAGTATCATAATTTAAAAAAATGTTTGTGATGCATTGTGTGCCATATATATATATATATATATATATATATATATATATATATATATATGAACTGGAACTTACAGATTTTCTCATCTTATCACTCAGTTATATATGATGATGATGTCATAGAACTTAAATTTATCTCTATATATTCATCCAAGGACATTTTCAAGATATAGATACTATGTGAATCGTAATGAGGGTAAGTTACCAAATTTTCTATAACACGTTTAACATAATTTCTTGGGCATATATAAATTAAGCACCTCTTTTATTATCTTACACCAATAAATATATATATCTATATAATAAAGTAAATTTAGGAGATAAATAACTACAATATCCTGGTGAAGAATGTGTCTCAGTTCAGTAATACACTAATATTTATATAAATAAAGCTTCGTATTTGTCGTAATTATATTTCAAATATTACTAAATCACCACGAGAGCAATGCTTACTTATTTTATTTTTGACTGCCCACTAAATCCATTTAACTTGTACACCTAATAAATGTTACAAGCTAAAAAAACTCGTATTTGCAATAAGAGCCATATCGGGCGAACAATAGCAGAATAACATCGGACCAGCAAACGACGTCGGAAATCTAAATATTTATTTGAATTACAGGCACGGGGTCGACCGCGAGCCGCCCATTTCGAACCGCAAAACGCTCCCAACTCTGACCAGAGATGAGACTAAAATATTTACTGTCTGTCCTATAATATGATAGAAATGGATTTAATTTAAAGTTCAAATTATTCCTTATTTCTAATGAACTTAACAAGTAATTAATATGTGAGTATATTTCGATCATTATAGATAATATTAGAAATCTTATCTAATAAATTAAAGGTACATTTATGCAATAGCAAACTCAATATTGAAGTTAGAATTCCAATCAATATAATGCGAGTGTTCAAGTGCTTCAAACTAAAACCAGGTGCGCCATCTGGCGACGTACGTTAGAAACAAGTGAGACGACGACGAACTAACAACTTGGTCAGGATTCAACATCTAAACTAGACGTGAACGGAAGCAATTAGTTCTTAGCAATTATTGACGATGGTGTCAAGGGCCACTTGCAAAGCAATATACGTGTATAGATTGATAGTTTCAAAACATTACAAACGTATCTTCTACATTGATGTTATTGTTCGTTTTTAAATTTATTATTTCTTTTTCATTGAGGATCTTAATGATGTCAGTTTTTTATTAGTTAAAATTGTAATTAATAAAGAAAATTGATTGCAGGTTTTAAGCGCCCATGTAATTCCCCTTAAACAAGTTAAACTAATTAAAAGCCATGACTTCAGCAAACAGTTTTATTATGGCAATCATCAGCAATGCTCTCTGATTTTCGTATGAGGCACCTATAAAATAATTCGGCCGCACGCTCGTCTGATTGGACCCATGGATTATTAGTCCCTATTTGTGTTGTCAATGTTTATGACCGTTTTATGATCACTGTTCGTTTTATTGCACGTCCAATTGCTATAGTAACGGTTTTGATTAAGTAAAGCAATCGAATGCGTTTTGTTTGTCGCTAAATGAGTGCACTTTATTGGCACTATCTGAATATTAAATATTTACTTTAGCATTCGTGTCCTCGTAAAATCACTGATATGCCAATTTAATCAGTTTATTATTGTGATAGTTGATTGATACTTACTTCATTTTATTCCTTGGATGAGTACGTACGGCGTTCCCTTTAATTGCTATATAAATGAAGGTGATATGCATATTATGATACAATTAAAGCAATATAACTATAAATAGATAATTCAGCGGCAATAAATAAAGCAGAAGATTATTTGCTACTGACCACATATACCTTTTAATATAGTTATACTCTTTAAGTTTTTAACGCTATTATTTTTTATCGACAATAGGATTGTAAAAAAAATATTTACAAATCAGTATACTTCATGAACGTCTGCGGAACCAGTTCGTGTATATGTCAAGATATGAAAATAGACAAAGTAAAAGATGTAAGAGATAAAAACCATCGGTGCTCTTCGAATTCCCTAAGGGACGTGGCATGAAGCGAAGCGCATAGATAAGTATTAGTATACTCGTAAATGAAAATCAAAGAGAGATTTTGTACAAAAGACATCAGCTTGGGTACTCTTTTAGCTGTGCTAGCATAGCTGTATTTTGGATTGAAAGCTAAATAGCCTGTGTAGTGTAAATGCACACAGTATTGCTATAGGCATCGTAGTGTATTCTGTGATCTTCACAGTACTATTCACATCTATAAGTGATGATTACTAATTGTCTAAAAAGATATTTGAATATTAAATACTAGTTGGAGCCCGCGGCTTTTTATACGTACATTTAAATAAATTGTAGACTTATATGTTAATATACTTAGATCATGATCCTTTGTGTACTTTATTTCATTCAAATTCATTTATGCATAATTGAGTATATTATATAAATATCCAAAAACCTTTACAAATATTGACGTTTATAATACTAGGATAGGGAAAACATTGGGTACTAAATAACACTACATTTAAAATGTTCTTTCTAACATAATTATTACTTTCGAGTTTTTTTTTTTTTTTATTCATCTGTATTTTACGTGATTGTCTTAAAATAATTATATTTAGCTACTCTGATACTCCAAAATAAAATATATAGCTATATTTTAATCTATGTGTACACAGAAATATACATGAGTACTACAAAGACTATTTAAGATTCAACCGAGTCCATAGTTACGGATTCTGGATAAGAAAATGCTCTTTAATTATCCAAAGTATTTTGTGAAGTTGGCAAACACTGAAGACCATAATTCTGTTACCTCTCCAAACTTGAAAAAACAGTTCTTTTATTACCCTTTAAGCATTGTTTAAGAGGTAAAAGGCAAGGGAGGGACCCCTCTAACCAAAGACTTTTACCGGGTCATTATCGACCTTTCCCTCCTTGTGCCCACATTCTTTTAGGCAAGATTGCTATTAGGTAAACCTGATTTTCTTATTTAAATCTTCAAAGTATTTTAATCAGGTATTCAAATTGACTTTTTAAACAGTGTCTGATTTAGGGACGTAAAAAAATAAGCATTAGTCATTTCTTATTATAGATATAATAAGTTTTTTAATGCTTTAAGTATTTGTAAACAAGTTCTTTTATTGCATTGCATATCTGTTTATAGCATTAAACAGATATTCATCCTATATTGACCCTATGATCAGAAAATTTTTTCGTTATAGAAAGCTTTACAAATTTTTTAAAGATCAATCAATGTATTTTTATTTAATTTATAATATTTTATTTACAATGACTTAAGTCTTCACATAGATATGAATTGAAATGTTTAACTAACAAAATATATGAAACTTATTAACATAATGTAAATAAAACGGGAAGGTAAATGTAAAATAAAATTTACTCCATTGAAATAAAGATTTAATTACAATCGTTACATAATTTTACTCATAATAATAATAGGTATATATTCTATAAATATCTATATAGAACATTTAATATTAAGCGAATGTATTCGATTTGGTCACAATGAAATTTTTATCTTGATAATATTACGTTGCAATATATTTTGTTTGATTGTATTTTAAGCCTCAATATTGTTGACCCACGTGTAAACTAACTTGTGACCTATGAATAAGTACTTGTACAGACTAAGGAATAAAATAAAACAAAAAAAAAACAAAAAAGAAGAACTATTGCAGTATTGGACGATACCTGACAAAAATTGCTATTTGATTTATCATATGCCACTCATAAATATCAAGTCATTTGATAGATCCAACCCAACCAACACGGTATCTTCCTGATATATTCATAAAAAATATTTTAAATCATTTTAAGCTTTGCTTATAATTTCTTTTCATAACCAGTTAAAATATGGCCTCAAAATTTTACTAGTCCAGCAAAATTTTCATACATCTTCATTTCTTTGTTTATCCGTTACTTTTTTACCTAGCACATACTTCACATGACTAAATCCAACATCAAACAAATAATATTCTATATATATATAATCCCGGATCCTGTCGAAAGTGACTGCGATCACTTTAAAAATAAAATATTCAGAATATATTTATTTACAATGTTATCTAATAATACTTTTAAACAATATTTATAAAATTCATATTGACGCGTTTACGGAGTGCGTCGCGTGTCACGAAACCATATTAATTACTTTGTACACTTCTCAAGAAACTAAAAATAGAAAATCTACAAAACATTTTATATACAATGACAACAACAATAACCAAATCGACGATTGCGAATCGATCCATACAGTAACAAAATTAAACAGATTGCGACGTAAACAATGTGAAACCAAAGTTACCATTCCCTCCTTACTACTGAATTAACAATCACTTACAACTAACAAAAGTAAAGTCTGGCACCTCAACTAATGAATAACTTATTGCTCCAAGAAAGTACTATAATAAAAAATTGGAAGAACTTATTAGCAAATCATCATAAAAGACCCTTATCTAACAATTATTCCAGCTGGAGACAAAAGTTAATGTATCATACAATAATTTACTAAAACCAATTGATGGTTAATTTTTTACACGTAATTGCGCTTTTTGTGTATCTATAAATAATTTGGATATTATTTCCATATTATTCTTAAATCTATAAAAATACTGAGCAACGTTGATTTCATACAATGATTCGTTTCATATTATTTTACTAATAAAGGACAACCGTCGACAGAAATCACATCAGAACCAAATTTTAAGTACTTATAATCCTTTTTACATTATAATGATCTGTGCATTTTAATTTAATAGTTTAAAAATTACACTAGGCCATATACAAAAAACGTATGCACCAAATCAATATAATATTACAGAGTCTACAAAATGTAGTTGTATATTTCGTAACCATAGTTTTATGTCCCTACAAATTGTTTGCATCATAAATCTTATAATAGAACTGAAACACTGTGCCACTGTGAAAATTTGTTAGTCCCTAGTGGTTGATGCATGGTGCAGCGACCCAGGTTTCACGTGCTTTACCTGCAACAAAAAAATAGCGTTTCAGATAAGTTTGTAATTACTTCCGTGCATATAAATAAGTTATATCAGTACTACCTACTTTGAAAATAAGTTAACCTTATAGACATAAAATTTTAAGTTAAAAAGAATAGCGGTATTTAAATTAATGAAAAAAGAAGTCCACTTGGATAGTTGTTTCGATTCTATCGCGGTGTCAGAGCAGCGAGCCCGCCGCAGCGTTCACACATCTCAACCAAAAAGGAAAAAAAAATAACCAATCGAGATGAGGTGACGAAACGTTCAGTCTCATTATCTGAGAATTTATTAACGAATCGTTTGGACCGGAAAACCGAAATGTGAAAGAAATAAAAATTCGACCTCAGCCGCGGTCATCTAAAGTTTGTACAGCGTCAATGAAAAAAGAAGTCAAACAGGTTATTCGAGCGACCTGCGACTGAATGAAACAAAGAAGGACCCGAGCGAGGATCAAAAGATAAGAGAGGGTAGATTAGAGCGTTAAAAAAAGGCCTTAATGCAGAGGTAGTGTTGTGAATGAAGAGGATCCATTGAGATTCCACGCCCACGCTCGCTTGTGGTATCCGTTGGCCGCGTTATCGCCTTCCGAGACCATCCAGGCTGCCGATCCCGAGCGCCGCGCCGCCACCACCAACATTTATTGTCCATTCATTTTTTGTCTTATGGACAACTCTCGCTTTGTATTATTTAAATTGACTGCTTTCAATGGGATTACGTCTAGGTATACTATATTTTATTTACATACGGATCGATCATTGGATTTTTAAAATGGAAGCAACAATATGTCAGCTCACAAACTAAATCCTTACAAATATTTAACAAGATCAATTCGTGATCTGGCGATATCATTTAGCAAAATAATAAGTTAAAACCATACAGGTAGGTATGTTATTTAAGTTGAAAATAAAAAAAAAACTGTCAATTCGGCATGTTCTTTTTGGGGCTACTTTAGAGGAATGCCGCGATAAGGAGTTATTTTCGCGTCATGGAATTCGAGGGGACAAAAAGGCGTGAAAACGAAAATAATACAAAACGTTATAGAAGTGAATTTGTGAGCGTTTGGCTAAAACAAAATTCTTGGCGATGCCGCTCTGTGCGGCGGCGTCGACGATAGCGATTTATTGTAATGAGACGCGGATACCGCCGCCGCAGTCACCGTTTCTCAGAAAACCTTTATAGACTCCAAGAAAAATGTAACAAGGAGTACCATAAGAGAACTAAATAGATCTCATCTTCACACGATGATATTAGAAGTTTTAATTGTAATCAATGCATTTGTTTTCGTTTTATTTTATATTATCTTAGTCTCATAAATTAATGTCTTCAAAATAAGCATTATCCAGCAACAATAGACAATTTTTGAGTGACTAAAGATATTTCGATTACATGTAATTTCTTCTAATCATACTCTACTTACTATGTTGTTTTAACATTGGATGTTAATGATACAGTATGAGTTCTAAATTTAATTGTCTAATTAGATGCAATATAATATGAACTGACTTCAATATTGTTTGCATTTGTCATTACAAAATCTAATCAGTAAGATTTTTTTTTTTTTTTTTTTTTTTTTTTTATAGAACTTAGAATGGCAAACAAGCTGACGGCCCACCTGATGGAAAGTGGTAACCGTCGCCTATAGACATGAGCAGTACCATGGACATAACAGAGTATACTGTTTCGCCCATGATACCCCCATGCGTTGCCATTCCTGAGGACTCAGGTGTTATTCCTCTGTACCCAGTAAATTCACGCCATATCCCACCCTTCAAACCGAAACACAGCCATGCAAACACAACTGCTTCACGGTTGAAACACGAATGGGACAGAGGTACCCAAGCATCGACTTTTGTACAAAGTCTCCCTCTGGTAGCAATCGACTTTTGTACAAAGTCTCCCTCTGGTAAAAGATGGGTTAGGTCATATACGCAATTTATATAATCAATTTTTATCTATGAAAATTCATCAGCAAAATGCTAAAAATTAAGTAAATTACCTACAAATTATTCAAAATTAGATGTTACTTTTAATTATTTAAAAGCAATGGCATATTTCCACCACACATACTTTGGTTTAAAATTACCGAAAATATAAAAATTCTAATACACAAACTTTGACATAGAAGCGTTTATAAGAATCCATAATCACATCTTTACATTACAGAAATCCACAGTCAATGTCTCATTTCTACAATAAAATATCCATGTTACGCGTTCGTATAACCGGAGAAGCTAATTTGGACAGGTCACCGACGCGTACGTAGGCGTGCGGTGCTCGTCCCGCTGACACTGACAAATGACGTGAGATTGCAATCTCGCCCTCGCGTCGCGCGACGCCCTTCCGCGACTAAACTCCATTGTTTTCAATTACCGACATGACACCCCGGCGCGACTCTTGGCTACTAAACCGCAACTCTGTTTATGGATCTCTAAATATCTTTACTACAATCATCCATTTACGATCGCATCCCTCATTTGCACTGACGCGATATCGTATATATCGCATATATCGTATATAGCTCGAATACCTATATTTGAATCAATCAGAAACTCACCGCTAGTGGTGCGCGGTCCGCTTTCAGACGGCCGACACGAAACCATTGGGATGTTGTAGCGAGCTGGAATAGGAAATATTCTCTTTTCACGTGATGTAAGAGATCGTGAATTTAGTCCACCTACCACCTAATATACAAAGCCTATATATAAACGATATCGAATGTGCTTTTATTTACGATTTGTGAGCCTAGTTGCCTGATTTGTTGAATAATCATATAAACATATTAACCTTTTATAGAAGGGCTTAAAGGCAGCAGATCCCTCGTTGTGATGGGGCTGGTTGGGCTGGTGGCTGTTGGCGTGATGAGGGTTGTGGTAGGGATCGCGCTGTGGCGATTGCTGGTGTCTAGGAAAGCAGTAGCCGGAGCCACCGCCGCTACCCAAAGGATTCGCGACGCTCGGCACCTTCATGTTGGGTGGAGTCTGCGGCGGTGTGTCGGTTTGCACGTCGGGAAATGCCGCCGGATGTACGCAGGGATGCTGACCACTGTACTGGCCTGCAGGGAAGCCGCCATAACGACCATACGAGCCGCTGGCGGGGCTCGCAGCTGCCGTTGCCGGCAACGCAAACCCATTGGAGTTACTGTCGGCGGCTGCTGAGCGGTCTGGCCCGTAGCTGTGTTGGGGCCAGGGCTGTGCAGCCGGTGGTGGCGTCTTACACGCCGCTGTATCAGCCAATGACCATATCTTCGGTTTGGATGCTGGGATAGGTACCCCACAGTCTGACGACCCTCGCTTCGATTCTTCCTTTATTCCGTAACCCAGCAGCTGATGATGCATGCCTTGCAGTAACTCGTCACCTTTCCGCTCCTCATCTGTAAAGATAATAGCATTCATCGGTCATATTTTATATCCGATCGGCAATAAACGCGGGGACAGACGTCATTGGAATCAGCTTAGTCGCAATAGCCAAAGCCGTAACTAATGCTACAACAATAAAACAGAGCTTAAAAAAATCGATACGAGCCGTATTGAATAGTTGAACGTGACCGTTACAAGCGGGACGTAAGTTTTAGCTACTAAGAAGCGGAATCACCGTCTCCCTTTAGAAAAGTCGTGTGAAAATACGTTTGGCGTGCAGTGACCCATTCGTTAAGTGGTTATCCGATTAGCGAAGTGAAAATACCACTTTGGGGCGCGAGTCCCCCGCCGCGGGCGCGCTCGGCGATCCCTTTCGTATTTAAGCCGGGCATTTATTTCGCATTTCCCGGCGCTCCCCGCGGCACCGCACTTCTCGTGGAATGTGCCCGCGACACAATTAATGGTCAACCTCGCTTCTCGTCCTTTCTTCTATTTTGACCGCTATAACTACATCTATGCCCCTTTTATTGTTTCCATATAACTTTCTTTTTGTCCGAAAATAATCATACTTTATCGCCTTTTAAAATCATCGACGTTATCCACGGCAACATCGCCGATAAAATCTCAAGTCGGCGCTCGATTATTTTAAAGCTGCAATGAAATTAATCCTAACAGCGTTCTCGCTTCAAAAAATTTGGTGTTATTGTACAATTACACAAAAATGTTTATTCAGCAAAATTTTATAAGGCCTTAAGTATTATCATAATGCCATTTTCCGTTGTAAAGTGGCTTTTGGAGGGCGCGGGGCGGGTTGAGGCGACTAATGAAATTCAGAGGCCTGCGCGGAAAGGGCGAGGAAGGGTGGCGCGACCGCTCGACTTCATTCTCTTTATTCCATTTAATGCTGACTGCTCCTAGCTTTTAAGAGGGGTTATCCGCGTTGCCCTTCACTAGGGATAAATAGGGACGCCACTGATACTCTGCGCGAAGATATTTATCCGGCAAATTGTTTTAATTTTCATTGTATTAATCTAATAAAGGCCCACAACGACGGGAGATAAGCGAGAATAGCACGATTTCGTAATGTTTTATTTTAGCAATATGTTTAATGTATTCTTTGGGTTAATTTCTTTACAAATTGTTAGGGAGCTGTTTATTGAATATAAAATATTATGTGATGTTTGAACTTAATGCGGATTTATGTTGGTTAGTTGTCTGTATCAAAATTCTGATAAAAATATATAGGTATATATTAAATTAGAACCTACTAAGTTACTAAAATCAATAGGAAAATAAGGGTACGTACTGACTACGACATTACAGGCTATAATTTTAGTCGACCCTAGCATTAATGTAATTTTTTTCTTAAATAAAGAAATCCATATACATAGATACAAACCTAGAGATGTATCAACATAGATTTTTATAATCTGTTGAATAATTGATAGCCACTGAAACATTGATGTAGGTATAAACAAAAACGCTTTTATTCTAACGATAAAGGGATATGTTCAATTAAATTGAAGCGATTCACTAAATCGGTTATAAATATTTATCAAACGGCAGCATGCGCCGCGCTATATCCCAGGATATGGAAACATAGAGCTAAGCGCCGCTGGAAGCGACACGTGGTTTGGATTTGGAGCGAGTACGGATCTCACGCGTCGAGCGCACTTCGTTTGACACGACTGTCAAGTGGTTTTCCCCTTTAGTCACCAAAGCCGGGGGCGAAGTGAGAGATAATAAAAACGCGTCTCGGCCTCACAGGGCGCTTGGGAGTACCCTTCTCCGTGCACTTCGTACCCTCCCCTCCCGCCACGACCACTCCACTGCAGCCGATGCACTTTACAACAGAGATCGCTGCAATTTATTACTTCTCGGCCGACGTCCGCCCCGATGTTCACTTGTTTGTATTAGCCGTACTCGTTTGCCATTAACGCGGGCCGGATTAATATTTTATTTGGGATGCGTGTGCTCACGACAAAAATTAACATTTATTGGCGGGGGTCACAAAATGAAGCTTTTATTCATGAGTGGCTTAGCGCGGGATAGTTCTGTGTGTTTGTTTGTCGACGACGTCCTAGGGATCGCGTGTGAAAGCTTTTATATTGGCTTTGTTTGGCGTGACTTAAAATGATATATTACACGTCGTGAACATTGACGTTTTACTAAAAGAATGGTTATGCATGTCGAGTGAATGTTACGGTTTATTTGTTCAGGACTGCAGTTTGGGTTTTGCTAGCCGGAACAAAGTTTCTACTTTAATGTGCGTGTTTACCGCAATAAGTTATTGTTGGACTCTCACTCCAGCATTATTTCGATTTTTCGTTACAAATTCACTTAATCCGCTTTACTGTAAGAAATGCATACAAACAATTCAGTAATAAACAGTTGTGGTACAGTCACGCAAGATTGTGTTTATGGAATCACGTTATATGAACGTATATAATAACATTATATTGACATATTATACTGCTAGGCTAGATGGAGAAGTAAATAACTCAATTTTTGTAGTTTTGGAATAATCGAATTTTTATAATTATGTAATATTAGTATTATATTATATTTAATATTAATATAACAAATCGACTAGTTACTATAGTTATAGGTTAGTTAGGCTCGTTGACTCTTTTCAAGTGCTACTACTATAGAATATTGTCATCTAGCAAATTATGTTTTTTATTAAAAAAAAATATTTATTATACACTATAAATAATTACAATGATTAACTATACCCTTAGCGTGAGGACCCGGAGACCCGATGACTCGTTGGTGGTGTGGTAGTACAGATATTCCAATACCTACCTCATCTATCAATCTCCAACTGTCTATTCTTAATCCTATTATGAATTTTTTTTTTTACAACTTTGAATAATAAACAAACTGACGGCTTATTTAATTATAATCATAAACTTTACAAACTACGTAAATATAATATAGCATAATATAAATACGTTACTACAAAGATATATAATTATATTATAATGAATATTTATATTATAAATAAAATATATTATGGAAAATACAAAATTATAGTGAAATAATTGAAATATTGCATTTTATGCAATAACAATAGGATCATAACAATCAGATCAGCGACACTCTGGCAGTGGTGTCGCTCGGAAGTCTCCGCAGGGGCGCGAGACTGTAATCCTAGTTGAGGGGAAATGCACGATTTTTTGTCGCGATTGTGAGGGACGGTGACATGTTAGAGATATAGAGAAATTAGAAGCGCCTTTTAGTACATTATTAAATTTATGTACTAAAAAATTTGTCTGATAAAAAGACATATATATTCTGGTCCATGAGAAGATGCCAGTTACGGGGTCGTAATCATAGACAAAAGCTAGTGTATTAATGATTTGTGGAAATACACATATAATTTTTCAAACCATCAATAAATATATGTAGAATATAATTGAGAGAAATGAGAGCTCAATAGTATGTCAAATAATGGTAAAAGATGAAGATTGGAGCAAGTGAGTGACTTTCTACATTTGTGTACATCGTTATCGAGGGATGGAAAGATATAGATAAAGTGAGGAATAGTAAGATTAGATGGAAGTGTGGACTGAAAGACGATATAGTGATAAATATCGAAAAGGGAATGTTACGTTTGTTTGGCTATTTGAGGAGGATGAATGAAAAAAGAATTAAGAAAGAGATTTATTAAGTATGAGTAAATGGAGAAGTCGGTAAGGACCAGGCTCAATAGAGACATCGACGGGAGAGCATGTCGACCAGATAGATGACATGCTGAAGAAGGGCTAAATTGAAAGAACCCGCAACTGGCGAGCGTGTATGAAGACGAAAGTAGAAGAAGCGAATGAGATCTGATTTAATCAAGCACCTGGCGTTCCATTGTTTCTAACTACCCAAAAAAAAAGAAACGAGTGTGATAGATGTGTATATAGAAAATTATTTTCATATGTGAATTAATTGGTAATCAAATTTATCATTTCTCAACTGTTAATTCTTTCAATTTATTATCTACCAGCATAAATTACACTGAACATATTTTAGTGCATACCCAAATTTAAATGGTTTAAGTTGCTTGTAGTGCCTCTTATTTAATTTTAATATTAATTATAAGTACCTACGTATTACCTTAGTGATTATTGAAATGTATTTTACTGGTACATTTATATTACTTCGTTATTTTTTGTAGATACAGTACATTAATTAAAACGATCATAATTTAACATTGCAATAAACATTTTATTATTGTATTTGGTTGTCTAATTATATGTGGATTGACTAATAGTACTATAGACGTACTCATAAACGTACATACATAATACCTTTCATTTATAGGTAATTCCAGTATTACAACATTCATGTCATTCATTCTCAAGCCCCATCTACACTATACACTCCCATAGATCTCGACACTTCGTTTATTATCGGCATTTTATGACCCCAAGTACCGCTGTTCCCGGCAACCGAGACGGCATTCAAACCACGAATTAAGTATACTTCTGTCCCAACAATAGCGAGCTTCATTAGTCGACGTATGCCGGGCGTTAGCCGTGACGCCCCCTGGCAACACTTCCATTAGCGGCGTGAAGTTTGCAATGAAAACACTCTTATTTGAAACCATCTTTATTGTAACAATATCTACTTATAATTTATGTTGCTGACAAGCGAAACTAAATAGTCTCCCTCGATGTTATTGCAAATCGCAGACTCCGCATCTGCATTTTATTATTGTAAGTACTTACTCCAGAATATATTCATCGATCTTACGAAAACACTGCTGAAAGAGCACCGTAACACTCACACGGCGACGACAAAGACCGCAACGAAAAAAGGTCCCACATTCAATTGGAACACATTATAAATCCCCAAAACCGTACTTACTTACATTCAGACGGAATATCCTCATAAAAGAAACGATCCACGAACTCGACAAATCCTTTGGCAAGAACATGAAGTAGGGCAGATCGTCTGACAAGCCGAACGCGACCTCCGAGCGTCGCCCCGTTGTACCAACGAACGGAAAAAGCGTTATATGAAATTTGGGCCCGGGCGCCGCCCACTACTACGAATAGGAAATCCGGGAGCGAGGAGCGGTTACGCACAGTTACACGCCTGAGACCCACTCCCCCCTCTGTCCCACGCCCCCGCCGGCCTCCTCTTGCCTCCTCTACGAATCCCGCACACCCTCCGGCCCTCAACCGCGTTATGCCAATTCACTCGACGATTTATTCACCGACAAAATTAAAGCAATTTTAAACGTTCAACAACACCAACATGAAAATAATACAAACTGTTCACATTAAAAAATAGAGAAGTTTAGAATATTCATGATCTCTCGCTATTGCAACAGTTTGTATAAGAACAAATAATGTTATTTACATACACACAATTCGCTTAGCTTACACAATTATTCAAGTAAAGCAAACACAGTTTGGGATATAAATTGTTTAAGGCACAGAAACATGAAAGATTTAGTACAACATTTGACGGTCAACGGTTTACTTGTACAAGTGATTGACCACCCAGTGTTGTGTAAAGCCTCGTTTAGTTCTACTCAATAATAAATTCATGAAATTTATATATATATATATATATATAATATTGTTATTATTGACTTTAGAAAATATCAAGTTTTATGGTTTGAATAAATCTAAACGGGCTTAATGTATTGTAATGAACTCAACGAACCTTTATGTGTTTTTATTTTTTCATCTTGCTCATCCTTTTCTTTTTCTTCGTCGGAAAGCATCGTGTCGTCGTCGTCATCAGTTTTATTCTTCGGCTCCCAGGTCATCTTGTTCTCTTTTTTGAGGCGACGTCGCGCGTTCGCGAACCACGTGGACACCTGCGTCAGCGTCATTTTAGTAATGATCGCGAGCATTATCTTTTCCCCTTTCGTCGGGTAGGGATTCTTCTTGTGCTCGTTCAGCCATGCCTTCAACGTTGCTGTTGACTCTCGCGTTGCGTTTTTCCGTCGGGCGGCTAAATCGTACCCAGCGCCGTATCTGTCGACAAACATGTTTATACTTACATATACCTAATGGGAAAAGTATTACGCTTCCGGCCTCAAACTCATTCGCTTAGAATAACTATAATATACATTAATTACAAGTACCGAACCAACCCACGTTTCTAGCGAATTTCGTGAATGATATCAAAGCAGAAGAAAACGTTAATACCATGAAAATAAGTAACAACGACTGGTTACATATAGATATGCTAGGATAGGATAAATTTAATTCAATAAAACATTTTTTTCCTAGACTGAACGCCATATTCCCACTAGTTACATTCGACGCGTCGTACCGTTTACAGCGAGCAATAAAGTGGCTTTTAAATTCGTAACAGATAGGCGTTTTATTTGAGGCAATAGATTTCTCGTAACGGCAGCAAAAATAAAGCTATCGCGGCTCCAGAGCGACATTCGATATACTTTTTAGGGCTACATTCCTATTTGCATCCGTATTCTAAGCGTAATTGTGTCGAAATGTTCGTTCCCCTTTGCAGTATTCGTACCTGACTTCGATTTTCTCGCCGACATGACAAAGGCGCGGTCTAAGGGGTCCAATAAATAGGTTTCGCGCGTGAAAATAGTTAAAAAATGATACCACTATGTGGTAAGTTTGGGCAAATTGTATCCTTTCGTGGGCTGTTTAGGGTCTAATATAGAATAATACTTGGTGATGTTTTCACAAGCATGTTGCTCGGAAATGTGATTTGCAATAGTGACAGCATTTGTAGTTTTATTACATTTTGTCAATATCACTTACACGTTTACCTGCAGTTACCTTTAAGTATCTCCAATAATAATATATAAATAATATAAACCTATATATTAATTATTACACAGTCAATATAATTATTAAAAAGACTGGGTTTTTTTTTATTTCTTTTTACTCCTTTCTCAAGAATATTTCTATTATTTATTTATTTTCTATATAACAAGCATCGTGTAATTAATACAATAAAAAGTATAATTTAATGTAATGTTTTTTTTTTTATAACACAGTATTTATTAAGAAACGATTAACAGCGGCTACTTTTTTAACGAAACCGTCGTGTGCGCTTAATATTATAAGAAGATTTTATTTTTAATGTTATTTGCACGTCAACAAGCATCCTTCAATGAAGAGTAGTTGTCTCGCTAGAGGGCGGTCCGTTGCATCTCGTTGCAGCTGCAAGGCGGTGCAGCGCAGGCGTGGGCAACGTGGGCGTGCTCGACACAAATCGATCGCGTCGCCATCTTGTGCGCCGGACACCGGTATTGTTAGTTGTTGGCCAGCCGTCGGCTTAAACAGCCTACACAGTTTTGCGGGCAAGCCACCGTGACCACTCTTAATTAAATCATCAAAACTAAAAAAAAAAAACACTAAGGAATTCTCTTTTGTAAATTTCATTATCGACCAAACAACTATATTCATACAAAATAGTTAAAAAAACTCTATCCAAAAGTATTAGTACTTATGTTAAAGACAGATGACAAAGCCTCTGAAACCATAGACGCCACATTAGTTTGAACACGACTAAGCTCTTCAGAATTCTACAGCGGTTAGTGATGACAGCGGCGAGGGTTAAGAAAAACTCTCCGCTTTAACGCTGAAGTGTTTTATTAAGTTAACAACGCTTTGTTGGTTTTCAGCGCTGAAGCCGCTGTGAGGGGTGGTTTTGGTTTAAGCTTTCTAATTAATTTAGACGGTCCACTTAGTCGTCGCGCCCGCCCTGTGAGAACACATGCACTTGGTTTAGAGAATGTTAATACTTTCATGGCGGAAACGCTTTGTATCTTTGTTAATTTGGGGACGAAAACATAATGCCAATGGTCGGGTTTAGAATCCCACTTTACTCGTGGTGCCAACAAATGGTTGGATTAATTCGCTATGACGTTTCCTGCTTTGACTTAAATATTTCAAAAGTTATTTTAGTCCAAATATTTAGTTGGAATGTTAATTTTTGTTTAATAACAACAGTAAACAGTTTTTATTATTATTATTGAGTTGTTTATTATTAGATTTTATTTTTGATAATCGTCCCCTATAAATATGAACAGTACCATGGACATAACAGAGTGTCTATACTGTGTCGCACATGATACCCTTTATGCGTTACCATTCTTGAAGGCTAAGATGTAAGATAGCAAAATATTTTGTAATGTTCGCTATTATTGTTGTCGATGTAAAAAGCCTATAAACGGTATTAGTCTCCGATGGAGACGTAATGACAATTTTATGAGCTTTCCCATAATATCAAGAGTTGTACATTACAAGCCGTCGTGATGTAAATTTAAATGATGAGTATATGGCTTGAATATAAGATACAGAGGTCAGGATCTATTAAACAAATCTGCATGATATAAATACAAAGTCTACTAAATATTTGAAAGCGAGTAGAGGATTCAATTCGTGGTATCGGAGGTTTACGATCTGCCCGCTTGGGGGAATTGCGGCCTAAACGTGCCGTCCCCCGTACACCGTACAGCTATGTACGAGTACGCACATAAGTAATGTTCCCCCCTTCACCCCAGAGGGGCCGCGGGTCGTATTAGAATTAGGATTCGCAACAGAAGTGCGACTCGAGTAGGCGTTTTAGAAGCGGGATTGTTGCGTTGTTGTGTCGCTTTAGATGGTATACGTCGTAGTCGTATCCTTTTAAGGTGTAGTTTTATTGTACGTATTTATCGTATGTCACGGTCTCCATATTGGCAACTATAAAGTTTGTTATTGTCTCGCAAATATTTTTTTTATATTTTCATTTTTTTTTGGATTTAAATTCTAATAAGTTATTATTATTTTATCAGCATAAAAATATGCAGCGAATTTTCAGAATATTATAATACGTACAAGCAAATTAAGAACAATAAAGTATAGTGTAAGTTTATTACGAAGACAATAGTTTAAGATAGGTATAAGCAATAAGTAGGTACGTTAAAACGCAACATTATTAACCTTATAAAATTTATATAATTAGTATTTGACGTACGACAGCAAACTGATCAGATAGTGGCTACCTACCTGCAGTCGACGTAATTAGAAACATTAATTACTAGGTCCGAACGTTAGCGGCTCGACGTGACGCCGCGCTTCTCCGCGGAATCAATTAATACACCTTGATAGATTTATCACCATGCACTCCATTTAACAGTAAATGCACGATTATGCGCAATACTTCCTTCAGTCTGTTAGAAGGAGACCGCCGACCATGATTTATCGTCGGACTTCACTCAAAGGTGTAGACAATCGAACAATTAAATCTATGTGAACGATATCGATTTATGATAATAATTCCACTAATAGTATTCCAGTTATGAAAAATGCTACAGCACGCATTGCACACGTATAATGGCCTTTTAATTTTTATTATAATTGTCTAGTTTATAAATAGATATTCGAAAAGAAATCGACCGTTAATGAACATCGTCGAAACATATAAGTGTCATTTGAATGGTACATTTCGTTAACAAGCATTCCTTATTTGGTTTATTTAAAAGGTAACAGACCGAATCGTTGGCACACAAAATAATTCCCTTAGAGCGTCGCCCGCTCGCTCGGGGCGCAGTAATTTCCTGCTTATTTTGATCTCAATGGTGCAGTACAAGTGCTCCCTCGTCTCTTTCCTCTAATTTTTGTACGTTTTCTGTGCTCGAGTCTTGTGTTAAAAATAGCTGAGTAATTTTTCATTTCGGCGCGCGGCGGGCGTGGCAGATTACAGGCTGTTTCAAATAATAAGCCAACGGTACTTAACTGAAGTGAGCCTACAGTCGTGGCCGAGTTTTGTTGTTTCTATACACTTTTCATCGTACCTTTTCTGTATATGTCCGCGCTTATTCAGCTCGGGTAAGTTATTACCCTGTTGTCAAATTTTTCTTTTAAAGTAACAGCAAACCTGTGGGTCGGGTTTTCTGCAACTAAATTAACGTTGAAAGTACGCTTGAACAGCGAGTTATCTGAATAGATATTTGCAATTAGCATTATTTAGATTTGTTACCACATTTTTCTTACTTGAATAAAATCATCCCATGTTTTGAATAGAGCAGTGAACAATTGTACGAGGATAGAGGGCGCAATATATCACAGTGTATTTCCGTGCTTGTCCCGGCCCGCCGCCGTATCGCTACGTCTTTTTTACGCATAAAAACTAATGTCGCCTCTAATTATTTTTAGATTACAACGCACCGCCTGCTATATATTAAGTCAAGCGCAGCCAAATTGTCAGCATAACTTCGCTTTGATGTATCATGATTTGTTTTTATTTTCAGGCAGTTTCAATGTGATTCATGGATGGATAAATTTCAAGTACGCCATGAAACGTATATTTAATTGATGCGTCTACATAATACGTTGTTATGACATTGTCTGTTCACAAATATTTCTTTATAGCATGATGCTGTTTAGCGCGTATATTTATTATGACTCCTAATTTGAATAATTCAATTTATTTAATTTTAAATTATCTCTTTATAACTCTTTAAGTTTCCATGCAAAATCTAGTCATTCATTACGCTATATTTCGCTTGAATATTAGTTATTTATGTTGATTGAAGTAGACCAATAAAATATCTTTAAAGTAACATCATATATCTCTATTTCATGTCTCGTAGGTGAGCGAAGATGAATGCGAGGCCACCCTAGCCGACACGTCTGACGGGTTGATAAGTTTGCCGAAAACGTCAACGCAGCGCGTCGAGCGATCGCGTTTCAAAGAAAAACTGTGAATTAATCAGGCACTAGCGCGAAATGGATGTAGTGTCATTCGTCTCTGTCAGTCACGCGGACGTTTATGTGTGGAAATGAGATGGCCGACAACCGGGAGTGGTTACCCGGTCATTTGTCCCTTGCGGCCGGCACGCACTGCCTAGCATCATAGGGCTACGTTTCTTTATCGAAGCAGCTGAATGTTTATTATCAAAACCTCATTACCACTGCACTACGCTACACCAATATAGATACTAGTGTTATTTTTTTCGTCGAGAACATTTCAATAGTACCACTCGTGTTGACTCACGGTCACGTATTTTTTCAAGATCTGTGAATTATCGCTGAGTTTGCGAAATTTTTTTTATGTATTTTTACATCGTTAGGTATGAAAAGCAGTGTTCTTTAAAAAAATCTTCTGTAAATGAGAAAATAAAAATACGAGAATTTTTTAGTTATTTACCATTATACTCGTACATGTAAGTTAGTACCTAAAACGATATAAATATCTATAATCATTGTTATACTAATGTAATAAATGTAATTTGCTATCTTTAAATATTCGTATTAAAAAGAGCGCGCCTAAAACTTAATTTCACTAGCTATAATATTTTATTGCATTCTCACATGTCAGTGTTATAAAACGGAACGTGTCAACCCTAAAGCGCGGGGTTATATTACACATTTAACGATGGCCGAATATAAAATGAATAGTTAACAAGCCAGTAATGACAAGTGATTTGGCGATGGCCGCAATGGAAACCGGAGATAAACGCTCTGATAATCACATGCACGTATTGACATATTATCGCGCGGAATATTTTTCGATAATTTGACGAGCGAAAAAGATTCGAACGAACTTGATACAAACCAACTTACCATGAAAGTCTTTCGAAACTTCCAAGTCAAAATAAATACGAACTTGATTAAATTCACAAAAGAAATAAATAGATATCCTTAGTTTTGCAATCATTCTGTCATATATATTCGTGGTAGAGTTAATAGTTTTATTAATATTATTATTTGAATATGTTTTACCGTACACACAATAAAGAGCGAAATTTCATTATTTATTTTCATGGTAGACCCTAATTTGTATTATCGATCATATAAAATGACAGCAAAGTTAAAACAGCTGCAGATTGAAATAAAAATTAATTATTTTAAATTAACTAAAATATAAATGCATTCCAAATATTTACCTACCCATGAAACCATAACCCTATAAAAGATAGCATATGTGTCTCGAAATTGAAAAGTATTATAACGATTGATGTGCGTTCCAAAAAAAACTCTTTCAATTTATCGTTCGCTAGTAACGTGGCTCGATTCCCATTTACACCCACATCGAAGGGAAAACATTTACACAACACAACAAAATTTATTAAAGTCAAAGCGAATCGCCAAATGTAAACATGAGCCTTTCGCATTGCAGTCTATTAGAGAGATAAGTCTCGATAGGGAGGTCCCTGTTATGTTAATCCGCGCACGGCGCGGGCTTTATCTAAAGTGGCGCGGGCGTTTGGACCTTGGGGTTTTTTGGACCCTGGGGACTTACCCGTAGGCAGCGAGCGTTGGGTCGTAAGGGTAGTAGCCGCCGGAGGGTTGAAGGCCTGCAGAGGTCCACGCCGACATTTCACCGCCACCCTCCTTCAACGCGTAAGGGTTGCTCTGTAACACCGCAACACACAATAAATAAACATACAATCGAATGTTTCATAATCGATGATACATCTATCTTACTAGCTTTATCCCATGGTTTCGCTCGTAGTCGTATCGTGTTATTGAAATCTTTGTTAAGAAACAAACTACCAAATGCAAAAAGCGCGTTTAAACAAACAAACAAACTCTGCAATTTTATTATATTAATATAAATTAATCAAATATATTAGTAGGAAATAAAGCAAATACATGTTTAAATTTCTTTTACCTGTTTACTGAAAATTTTGCAAATATGAGAATATATTTATGTTTACAATGCAGATATCGGTAAAGGCATCAATAATGACATAAATAAAAAAAAAACGAAGTAGTGATACAGTTATATGTATCTGTAGTAAAAACTGTTTAGGTAATCTACTTTTAAAATGTATTACCTAAACAGTTAAAATATATTACCTAAATCACAAGTGTGAAAACGATTCATGGCTTAACATAGATATAAATTTAATTATGTATTAACTGTAATTCAGCTTAATGTTTTCCAAAAAATAAATAAATAAAATAAAAGGTTTTCAATGATCTATAATCAAATAATACAAATATAAAGACAAAAGAAGTATGTTTGTCATTCTTGTTGTTCTCTAATAAAACAATTTATCAAACTGAATACGATCATTAAGTAAAGGAATGTAATAATGTTAATTATATACACAATCAATATACGTATAATAATAATACTTGTGTCTACAATATACAAAATATCTATCAATTATTAAATTCATCATTTTCACTGAGATGATAAACACAAATAATCTCGTTTAGATCCATTAAGCACACGAGTACGAGAGTCGACTGTAGAACGTCTATTTCACTATTTAAAACGTCATTAACGATATTGAAAATGGCACTCGTGGCTTAGCCGTGTAATCATATAAATCTCGACTCATAATACCTCTCAGTCAATCGGGACAACAAATATACGCTTGCGAATTTAATTAAAGCTAACTTAATAAAAGGGAATAAACTCGAACAACAATAAAGGTCCCAAGTGTACGTCCTGACATATCACTAACGTATTTGCATAATATAGGATGTAGGGGATAAACTATTAAGGCACGTACCCTCCTATCGAGTGATAGTGGTCCGAGTGATACCTACTGAGGGATCGCGTCTCATTCGCATACATTAGGAGCAACTAAATTAAAAGTGTGAACGTCTCCCCTACATCTCGCCCCCTCGCCATCTCCGATAATAAAACGAAAAGCATTATGATACATATGGAGCTCTGGTTGTGAGATAACCGAATAAAGGAGCGACCTTATTTGTCCCCTCTCTGAGGAAAGTTGCGGCATTCTATTGTTTGCACGATTCATCTTTTTACATCTTAATAACTTATTTTTCTATGTGTGGCAATGTTATTATTGTTTTTCTTTTTGGAACGGTCATTAGCGGGCACTGATGCGAATATGTAGGGAAATTTCTCAAATAAATAATTAATAGGTTTCTTTTAAGGAACAGAGCCGACACGCGTTGGAGTGGAACATCGCTTGTTATTCGTCACGAAGAACAAGCCTGTAACATTTGTTATTAGCATGCTAACTATTCTCAGATAACGACTTAATTGCTGTACCTGACTCGTAGTTATAACAACTACCAGCTAAACACCTCGTTTGTTCTATTGCTGTTACAAATTGCCTAACTTATAATTGACAGGAAAATATTAATTCTAGTAGCACAATCGTTCGGCATAAGATGCCTCGGTTCAGTGCCTTAAGTTTCATTGTATAAGAGTGAAATACATTCTTGCAAATATTTTACTCTTTTTATTTGACGGAAAATAAGATAGAGCATGGAAGATATTGATGTTAAAGATGAATTATTTTATAGAATTACCTAAAATAGATTAACATATAAAACAAAGTTAGTTATTTCAAAATGACATAGATATATCTAGCGTAAAGAAATGGGAGTTGCGACCACATTACTTCAAAGAGGTAAGAGAGTTTAAATTAAGAAAAATAACCACATGTAATATATAAGGTCAATTTATAATAAATTGTAAATAATGAAACTTTTAAATAAAAAAATAAATGTATTTTTTTATAGCATTTTCCCTCTTTTTTTTAAGCAACAGTTATAATATCATATCTATATGCAGTATTATATCTAATTGGGAATATTTATAAATTTGTTTGGATAATTATCACATATTTGCACTTACACAGCTGCAAACGGACACAGACCATTCCTTAGATTACCTTTTAATTCCCACAGGTAAAGCCGAGAAAGAGACTGTAATTAAATATTTATCTATTACAAAATGTCATAGATAAATATCAAAATTATATAACGTTAATGTTTCACTTATGAAGTAAAATTTGCATGCTTCTTGCTTGCATGTGTAAGTACTTTATTCGCTAACGTGGGTACAAGTAACCTACAGGCAATCGTGATGGTCATTAGTAATTATCTTTAATCTACAAGATGTAGGTATTATGTCAAACGTGAATAAAGAGTAGAAGCAGGCACCTAACATTTATTACATGCTAGGTTGCTTTATAGCAACTTTAATACGTGCACGACAAGAAATGACGTGCGCAAAGCGAGTTAACATGCTCAGTTAATAATTAGTGCTTAAGTGTGTACACATTTGACATTGTTAATCGCCTTCTTTAATAAGTGAACTGTCGTTTACCTCTATTATCCTATAATAAGTGAACGAAAATAAATATTCCTCTATTAATTTTATTAAATAACTGTTACAAGTTTCTACGGCTTACTATGAATGAATTATTGGGATACGAATAGGGTGACCATCCGTGTTGATTATATCATTTGGACATTTTTTTTTTGTAAAGGGGCACAAGCTTGCGGCTTACCTGATGGTATGTGATCACTGCAGCCCATAAACACTAACAACACCAATATATATATATATATATATATATATATATATATATATATATATATATATATATATATATATATATTTAAACTAGAAATGAAACTTATTATTTTTAAAGTCCCACTGAGGAACAAATAACATCTAATATCTCTCTATACGAATATCATAAAAAGGTACGATTTGATAGTTTGTTTATTTGTAATGGATATACTTTAATAATTGAAAATTTTAGAATCTATAGAAAGCTACTTTATCTGCAGGTAATCTAGACTGTATGAGTACAATGAGACATTATTTATAAAAATTGTATCTACTCGTGCGATCGCTAGTTTTAAACAAAATATTAACACGATTTTTATTGAAATTGAAATTTTATCCTTCTATCCGTCTGACTGTTTGTCCTTTTAATTTACTGCCTTTATGTTACTTGAACTATTACAAAATGTGTGATCCATTTTTCGCTCCAAATCATTAAAAACAAAAATAGAAAAGAAAGCTTTTTATCGAGAAGCTAATAGAAATTATCTTTCATATTATTTTTTCTTTTTTTTTTATTATTGATAACTTCTTGTATTATACACGCAGGCATTAAGAACTCGAGTGAGGACTTAAAAGCTTACGTTTAGTGTTGCCGAATAACCGTTGAGTATCGATTATTAATTGATAGTTTAAAACATATAATCGATTGTATAATTATTTAGGTGATTGGTAATACGTATAAATACGACATATTAAATAATAAATGATTAATCAGCTAATATTGGTGTAAGATACTATCGATTAATCGATGTAAACGATACTGACGATTATATACAAATTAAACTTTATTATTACAACATTTTTTGAACTAGTAATCGATACAATAAATAGTATTGGATCGATTGTAGTCGATATATTTAATAAAACTTTATATTGATATTAATTATATCGATTTACGATAGTATCGATTTACATTATTTGGTGTGAGTGCTATCGATTCATCGTTATTAGCCAACACTACGCATGCTTATAGTTTCACCTGCTTAGAATTCAAATTCATAAAAATTCTTTCGTGTGGATAATAAGATTATTCGCACCTGTCTTTCTTCAGAACTGAATTAAATATGACGAAGAAACGGTATTTAATATGATATTTTGAGAACTCCAAATTGTTATTATTAAAGGTTTTATTCGATTCGATCGCGATTTGTTAATTTATTCGATTTTTTCCGAAAGGATATCTAAGTATGTAGAATGATTTACGTAGATTATTAAGTATTAGGTGGACAAATATTTTCATCTAACACTAATAATAACGAGAATTTTTTTTAATGCATGATAATAGAATGGTAATCCGCCTGCGCTAACGGTATACGCAGGCGGGGCGTCAGTGAAGGATGATAGGTGAGAACGAAACAGCAGGTTGAAGAATACACCTGGAATTCAGCACGATGGTTTGCTGGATGGACGACGTGGAGGTAAACCTACCACACTATATTTCTATATAGAAATACAAATAACGACAATAGGTATTATTGTATTATCGGTATTATTATGTCAAGTTACTTAAAAAATCTACATTTTCCCGAGAAAATTTGATGTGTGTTTACGCAAACTGTCAATGTTAAAACAACCATTATTTATAAAGTAATAAGAATGAAGATTAACTAAAACATTCCAAGAGACCGAATACGAACAGAACGATGCCTGTAAATGCGTAAATGTAAGTACGTTATTAATATTTATCAGTACAAACGTCCCCCGCAAATAAGCCAGTGACAAATTCGTATCCGCAACTCTTTGTGTGATTGTGATAAAAATTGTGACTTTCCCTGGTCGTGACAGTACCCCCGGGGTCGGAGGTTAGCTAACTATGAATGATGATTGTCTCGCCCCCACCGTTAGTGGATCGAGGAGACACGTGCCATCACCATTAATGATTATACTGATTGTATTGCTCATTTTTTTATACCGACTTTGAAAGGAAGAGGTTCTCAATTGGTCTTCATTGCTTTTTTGTGTGTTACGCGAAATTGACTACTGATTTTTGATGATATTTTCGGCTTTTCTTTAAATAGAAAAGTTATTATGATTAATATTAGATAATTTTACAATATCAACTTCG